CTACCACATCCTTAGTATTCCATCTCTGTAAAACTTAAACTACCGTAATGCATAAAACTTGGGCAACTTGCAAACATCAGAGACCTCAGACAGCTTTAAATGCTGCAGGTCCATTCTAAGATTCCATCTCTGGGAGCCTGAGAACTCCACTCAAGTTATGTTAATCACAAGGCTGGTCTCCAGGGGAAGTTATGGCTACAAACCTTAGCATGAAGCTTAGGGCTCATTCAGCATTGAAGGATACTGCTACCTTGACAGGAAAGAGACTGCTTTTGGCAGGAAATAATACAAGTCTTTCCTCAGCTTGAAAGAATTTTTGGAATTTAAGAACTTTTAGTGAGAACTATTGGTGATAGGTGGATGGTTGGACTGGATGATCTTTAGGCCTTTTCCAACCTTGGTGTTTCCGTGATTCTGTGAACCTTATTTCATATTGCCTCCTTTCATGCTATCGTTAGGGCAGGTATTTCGAACAGGAGGGCCTGTTCTAAAACAGTTTCTGAAAGGAATAATTACTGTCTAGAATAAAAGAAATTCTTTAATATATGAAGTCACAGAAACAATATGTGTGTGTTCTTACGGCTGCAGCGTTTCCAAAATAATGGCAGGAAAAAGTAACTTTAAGCCTCCAGTAGCAGTAGCATCCCTCCATTTGACCTTCTGTAGTCTGAAAAATATGGGAAAGCTCTGTCTCCTGACTTGCTGAATCTTGTTTACATTAATACAGATGAGAATTAACTACCCACTCCCATGATTTTATGGTCATTTCAGTGATACAACTTGCATGCTGATTGTATATCTGTTAGATCTTCCACAGATGAGACTTCTTTTACAGAGACTAAAAGGGTTTTACAGTGCCTTGTGAGCCAGTACATCACTATTTCTGAAGCTCTTCTTCAGACAGAACTCCCTTTGAAATCAAAGGGAGTTCTGTCTGAATAAGGACTTCAGGATTCAGGCCTCAGGATATAAATACTGTGATCAATCTTTTAAGCATGATGAATAACATTTTCTTGGCTTCCAGAACTATATTAAGCCAAATAATAGCCCCACAATTCTAGATGGGTTAAACAGGAGAATCTGCTTTGTTTCAACTTACATCTTTCTTTAGCTTTTAAATCAGCCTAGTTCCCTTACCTCATACTGATGTTGCCCAAAACTCCTCCAACAGTAAGACCAAATGTTTCAACAGTTACTTTTACAATCAAGCCTATCACAGCATGAGGCACTATGAAACAGTGCTGTGTTCAATGAAAACAAACATACTTGCTGCACAGTGACCTGTTTAAAAGTTGTGACCCGAGTGTACGGTCTGAAACAAAAGGCCTGAAGGCTGAGAACTTTGTGATATGGCAGAGAAGTTTGTAGGCACTGATTCTGATCAAAACATCACAGTAACAGACATTGCACAAACATCAGAGTTAGTGATACAAAAAGTTGACAGTTCAGGTAGATAAAATAGGTATTCCATGTCCTCTGTAATTACTCTGACTTTATAGATGGAAAGTTCAGCTAGGGACAAATTATATGACTTACCCAATACCTCCAAGAGGTACAATCACAGTTGATGCTTTACTATTGAGACACTTACACAATGTAACAGTATGTTACAGAACTTAAAAAAAAAAATCATAGCTTCCCCTTTCCAGCCCCAGCCCTGGCTGGCCTCCAGCACTCCCAGCCAAGCTTGCCCTGAAACTAAACACCTCAGTCCTTCTTCTTACTATTGACAAGTTTTGCCAGTGTTGATTTCAGGGGCAACAAATCTAGTCATAAATGACACCCTGAGATCAGCAGCTGATACTGTCTTAATAATTGTTGCCAGACAAGCAGTAAGGCATTAGCTGTGTGAAGGAGAGCAAAAGGCAGCAGATCTCCCCATGGGTCAAGATTGGTCAGCATATCAGGCTCTCTACTCCTCTCAGAAGGGACTCATCCATGACAACAACCCATATTTAATTAGAAGAATCTGACAAATGGCTCCACAGATTATAAGATCGTGTCACAATTCAGGTTGGAAGGGACTTCACGAGGTCCCTTGTCCGACCCCTGTTCAACGCAGGGTCAGCTCTGCAATCAGACTGGGGTGCTCAGGGCTTTGTACTTTTCAATCTTAAAAACATCCACAGATAGAGACTACGTACCCTCCCTGGGCAGCTTGTTCCACTATCTGTGTGTCCTCAGAGTAAAAAAGCTTTCTCTGTCCCTTGCCCTCATCTTCTCCCCTACCAGACCCAGATGTGGAAGGGGAAGCATGTTTTCGGACAACAGCTATTTGCTGCATCTCTCAGTCCCTAACTCCAAATACCATCCTGGTATATATTACAGCGAGAGAATGTTGAAGCCCTCTGCTGCGAGCAGAAAAAAAGCACTGCAAACAAACAGCTATGAAGCTGATGATGGAAACATGAGAAACAATATACTACCCGGAATACAAGCAGCTGGACTCCAATCAGTTCAACTTCTAGAAGAGTTCCTCTGCACTATCAGTAAGACTAGGCAGAAGGTCTCCCTATATACAAGATCTGCTCTGACACAGCTGAACCTACTTCATGTTTTGAACAAGCAGGATCCTGTCCAGTTTGTAACTTGTAGCAGTGGTGTAAACAGCCTGCTGATTCAGTTGTATTTGTAGATGGTTTCCAGCATTTACTTCTTTGATTTCTTCTTGCTCTTCTCTACTTCTTTTCCATATCCAATGAGTTCCCCTTCCCTCCCACAATTAGGTCAAAAAGCCTCTGACTTCCTCAGTTGCTGCAAAGCTTTGGCTCTACTACTTCCTTCTGTGGATCTAGTCCACGTGCTAGGCTGGTTTCTCCCTAGAGGCTTCCTGGCACAATCCACTCCTCTATCCTGGTTCCTGATCTTAAGGGAAGAGGGAAAACAGCCAGCACAAACAGGCAGACGTGTAGCAAGAGATAGCTCACAACCACTCAGCAGCATGAAGTTACATTTGTCTACCTCAAAGATGAGGATGAATTTCTCTCCCTGAATTTAAAATTTAAAAACAAATTGTTCATTTAGTGAGAGCAAAATGGTTCCCTTAGCCTCTCTCTGACCAGCAGTCCCTAGGGTACAGGAACCTGCTCATCCCCAGGATGCACAGAGAGTCCAACCTGTGACTTTCAGGCAGCCCAGCATTACTATGGGGAGCAGCTGGGCACAGCCTGGGCTGGGACAGCATTGAAGACAAGTGCAATGGAGGAATTAATACAAATTGGCTACTCTCCAGGGAACCCATGGGGCAGCTCCTCTACAAGTCAATCAGGCTAGGTGATCCTAGCTGACAGGAAGTGCTCTGCTCTTAGGACCTTACAGAGATTGAGACTGTTTTTTGACCCTTTCTTCATCTACAGTTTAGAAACTGCAGGTCATTGAATTTGGTTGCTTATGCTCAAAGTCAAGACTGCAATTTGCTTCTATTTGCTGTACTTACGCATTATATTTTTGGAGGAGTAATACCCTTCAAAAAGACCAAAGGAGTACCCACTTCCTTTGCACTTGAGATTGTATGATAAAAGTTACATATACATCATCAAAGGACATATGTTAGGATCCTGTCTTTGCTAGAAATTGTAACTGTGTTGCACATGGGCATTCTGATTTGATGTAGCTGTAGTTGAGGTGGCCTCTGGGGTAGCACCACCAGACACAAGTTGTGCTCTCTGCAGCACTGTGAGCTACAAAATCATGTCCTGAAATCCTGAAATGAGCATCTTTCTGCTGACATCTAAGATGAGGCTGACAGTGTCTCCCAGACTGCAGAATATGAATGAAACTTGTATTCATGCCAGCTGTGTTAGAGATCTAGTACAAAACAACATGTATCAAATGGAAGAAGGATTCACCTAGGGAAAATAACTGCAGCTTCCAAAGGGAGATTAACAAAGACTAATTTTTTTTAATGGATCTTTGCTGCTCTTACTTTCATCTTTAAAAGTCTTCATACATTATAACCCTGTGATTACCTTTGTTTTTAATTCTTACTAAGAAAGAAATGAAATACATAGTAAATATATTAACAAGAGTGTATTGCATAGTGCCATAGTGATTCCCACTACGGAAATAAAGCTAAGATCTAGGCAAATGTTTACTTGTATTAACACTCTGCTGTCATACTGTTTAAGAAGAGGTCAGTGGAATACAACTCAGGATACAGAAATACAAAGAGAATTTAAAGATTCTCTTTCCGATTGCCATCACCACACTGAATTAAGCTAATCTCTTCCTTATGAAGCATAGCAGCTCTCTTGCTCATGTCTGAGAACCCTGAGTTTCTAGCTCACAAGGATAGAACAAAAGACAAAAAATGAAGACTCCATTGCCTTGTTCTCAGCTCTGCCACAAGAAGAGTATAAAGGGGAGAAGATGTTTGTGTCAGTTTCCCCCAGCTTTTATCAGCTGATGAAGTCTGACGACACAGAATTGGGATACAGAGTATATGCAGGAGTGATAAACATGACAAATTAGAAGAACAGAAATGGGGCAGAAGGTGTGGAGCACAAAGCGCAAGATGCTGCCCTAGGGGACCAGACCACAGATCTTCTCCAAAAAGCTAAGAACTTCTGCAGCAAATGCTCATCAGTTGTTAGAACACAAAGTACACAGAAGGAATTCAAGGGGAAAGAAGTGAAAGTCACGTTAAAGGACAACAGTACAGTAACAATCAAGAAAATGCTAAAGAAGAGCAGTGAGGTCTGCAGCCATCTTCCAGGAAAAGCACTGGAGAAAAAATATTCTACACTAACATCTTTCAAATGATGATTCTTTATCCATTTATGAAAATTAAATTCCAGTCCTATGTTCCCAAATTTTTAACAATTCAAGCTCCTGATTTTCAAACTGATTGTGAAACAGGTCTGTTTGTTGCATATAGTAACAGAAATGTTCTCAAGTATTATTTTGTTTGAAAGTGTGATCTAGTGATGGTTTGAGGGTTAACTACATGTTTAAAATAGAAGCAAAGCACTGTATGCCAGTGGATAAGTAACACACAATGGGACTAACTGGTCCAGTTTAATTGCCTATGGTGAACAAAATGCAAGTGCATTTGGTAAGACCTACAAACTGCAGAAAATTTAATTTGCCTGTAATATTTCAAATGTAGCAATCAATGCCTCATTTGTTAAACACAAACAGGGATTGCATTTAAATACAAAAGCTTTATCATAGTAGCATGCCCTCACTATTCAAGTTGAATTAAAATACTCACCTACTTATCATCTGTTTTTCCAGTCTCACTTTTCCATCACTTTTGCAGCAGCAATTGCAAAGTCATTTCTGGACTCCATTATTTTTCTGTTATTTTTCAAACCAAATTCCATGATTTCTTTTCCAGATCTTACATACTATTTCTGTCAAGAACTCCTTTTCCAAGTGTGAATAGATTTGAATATATAGACAGACTCCAAGGAAATATAACTACACAGATTTGAATTTAATTATAAGCACAAGGTCACACACTGTGTTTTGTTATACTTGGAATTTCAACCAACTGCTAAGCTACATTGCTGTTACCAAAAGGCACCTCAGAGTCTACTGTGGAAGATTATCAGTTTCATCTACTATCATCATTGGAATGTAGTCTCTGTAATGAACTGCATTTGTTTCTGGATCTAGAGCACTGGAGAGCATCTCTTCCATTTCTTCCTCAGTAAACGGTTCACCTGAAAAAGAAAGGAAAGTAACACTTTGTCTTGGTAATTATTCTTTTCAGGGCTTACAAATTACCATTTCTTTCCTGCAAGGATATTTTTTCCGTGTTTATGTGCAGAAAAAAGAATCCAGTTCCTTCACTTCTGCAAATGCAGAAGTCCTGCAAGCCAAGCCAGCTAGTTTAAAAAAAGACAGAGGGCTTGGATCTTTTGATTCACATTTAATTCACAAGCTCCAAAACACCCAGTCTTGCACAAGACATGCTTGTCATTTTGTACTTGAGGCAGGCAGGCATGAATCAGCCATGCAAGAAAAGCAGGCTCTTCAAGGGATATTGAAAATTACATGATATGCAACTTAAATCTGGTCTTTGAATCTTTGTTTGCAAAGGGCACTAGAATAAGATCAAGATAATGCAGGAATGACTGAGCACTGAAATTGCCTGAAACGTTTCAAAATCTAAACTGAGGTTTTAGAGGGAGGAATAAAAGAAGTCACATCCTTAGGAAGCACAAAAGTGTGCATGGAATCACAAAATATTCACAAGACTATATATGACTCTATAAGATCTTATAATATCTGCAAAAAGGCAGATACATGTTCATTCCCTGCATTATTCACCAGGGAAATGTTCCACTCTATACACACACTCATGAAGGCAACAGGATTGCATGAAGATGGCGTACCTACTCCTGCAAGTTTCGGCTTCAAGAATTAGGAGTGCAAGGTGCCATATACACATGTTTATGTACATAAACAGTGATATTATAAAAATCATATTACCTTCTTCAGTCATATGTTTCACCAGATCCTCTTTAGTAATGTATCCACTTTTATTCTCATCTAAAGCCTTTAAATAAAAGGGATAAACTGTTGCGTTTTCATCATACTACATCAGCTACTTTTTCCCCAGCAATTAGGTACCTGAATATTTAGTTACAGACCTCAAACGCATGTAGAAGAACATCTTCTGGAATAGGCCTGTAGCTGAAACCATTGAATCAGAAAAGAGTTAAGTTTGTAAGGCTGCTATATCATTCTGAAATAATAAAATATGAGTAGTAGAAAGGAAAAACCTATTTCCTAGTTTGTCTATTAAACATTTAAGTCCAGTTTGACTTTATGGAACTTTCCATATCTTCACCCTGTGTCTTTCATTGTATTCCTGTTTCATTCTCTTTGTGCTAAGAAGCCAAATGAGTTGCTTTTGCATGTCTGAGCAGGCTGAGTGAGTTACTAGGAATCAATAGTTGCTGAATCACTCCACATAGCAAATGCAGGGAACAGAAAATTGCCAAACCAAGAAAACAAAGTTTTGTCCAGGTAGGCTGGTAGCTAAGCAACAGATCACCTAGTGGGACTTTGACAGTCTATTGAGCTGACAACAGGCAACAGTTCCACAGAGCACAGCACTGGGTGTATGTGTGTGCCAATTGTGCACCTGATTTCACAGCTTTCATTTTAAAATGCTTGGCTGTTTCATCCAGACTCACTTCACTCTTTTACTATCTAAAAACCAAATTGTTCTTTATGATTCAGATCTCAAGTGCCCTTGGATAAAGTGAACTATAGACACGGCATTAGAAGATAAACGTGAGTCTCGACAAGCCTGAGCTAGCCAGGAAAAATGTGTGTTCTTGTGTGTGTGTTTGTGTCGATGGGGTGGAGGAGAAGGAGGAGAGAGCCTGGGGCAGCAAGGCATTGCTTTGTGAAGTGTTGAAGATCAGTGTTAACCCAGAAACAGGCCATGAAGGCCAGAGAAGGCAAAGGTGCAGAAGTGCAGAAGACTGGGAAGGCAATGCACTCGTGCCAGCATGCTGGAACCAAACATCATTGATTGGTCCCTGTCCAGGCACAGGCACAAGGACTCAACACAGCCTCAGGGAGTGCCCCATACTGCAGGATGCTGTGAGACATTTGAGGGAAATCCCATAGCTATTTCATGTGTAGAGCACCAAAAGAGCTCCATGTACAAAATAGCTTCTGAGTTTTGGGCAAGACTAAACCCCTGGTTACTGCCTTTAAAAAGATAAACTCCCTATAGTTAAGACTACTTTTTGTGCAAAATATCAAAATAGCACAAGTTCCTGTGTACATCCAAAGATTTGTATGTACCTTTCAATAATGAACAGCACTCTTTTTCCAGACTTGTAGATCAGCAAATATTTTAGATCAGCAGAGTGCTGGTTGTGTATATTCAACAATACCTGGCAGTCACTTTGAGACATGAACGTGAAGCTGATTTATACAACTTATTAAAATACACTTTCACAGACCATGCTTCTCAAGCAACTGTAACTCAGATAAAGTAATGGCTGTGACCTTATTTGTATATAAAATATTTTCAGAGTTGAAATAGCAAATTCTGATTCACTCTGATTCACGTTAAAAATACAATGTTACCACAATTCATTATTATAAGCTGATGGACTACTGGTGCAAATAATAACACAATTTTATGTAGACCATATCATTATGAACTAAAAGTCTCACTACCTAACCTAATTTAAAAAAAAAAAAAATCTGTATTCCTTTGAGTTAAATAAAATTACTGCAGATAAATTCATTCAGAATCAACCATGGAGTAAACTAAAGACCCAGTTTACATTACCTTCTGTCCAGTAATACTTTTGTCATCACTGGAAGAAGTTTTTCTAGATGAACATATCCAGTTGGTGGTTCTTCTTCTACCTAAAAATAAGACTTAAGCATGGTAGGTTATATGAATCATTAGCAAACTAATAGAACAATCAGAAAATTGAGGTCAGGTGAGCCCTACAATAATTACAGATTTAGACTTTTGAGTATTTATATAAAGTTTATGTGTGAAGTTAATGTCACATGGCACCATAACATACGCATGAAATACTTCTGCTCAAATAGAATTCAAGGAAGAAATAATCTCCCAGACAAAACATATGCCTGCTACTTCAGAAACTTTCAACAACTCAATATTGCCCTCTTGTGCTTAGAAGCCATTTAGGCAGCAGAACTGGACACCTAACTGATCTCCCACAATAACTCAGCAGTGGTTTTAAAATTCAGACCACAATTATATTAGTGAAGGCAGGTATGACCTGGAGCATCCCCAGGATGTGCAACATGATCATCCGTCACAGCACACTGTCACCACATTCCCCAGCGTGGTTTTGGCCTATGCCATCAAAAACTTTTGCCCAACAGCTACCAGGTCCAGTTTGGGCATTGGGTCTGTGGGCACTTCTCCCCAGCAGCCATTTAGTACAGCCACCTAGCATAAAACATTTACTATCATAAACATGGGCTGCTCTGTGCCAGCTGGCTTCAGTTCCTAAGGATATTTCTGGCACATTTAATGTGCTAATTTGGACACAGACCCTGTCTAGCACATCTCAAGGATGGAATTTATTGCCTCCATAAGTTCTGTAGCCAGAGAGTCACAAAGAGAAGGTCCAGAGAAGCAGACAGATGGAGTCATGGCAGTCTGAAACAGTCATAAGTCAGTCCATAAATTACTGCATTGTTGCACTGCCTTCTATGCTACCAACCCTAACCAGGTCAGGACCAAATAACTGCACGTATACACCAATATGATGGACAGCAAAATGGCATTTATTACATGTGAACCCTAGCTTATATACCTTATGTGCTTTGTCTGCACCCCTAAAGCATGTGCCACACATCAATCATAGAGCTGGGGAGGTCCTGCTGCATCACATCCTGAGGGAGGGGGGAGGGAGGGGAAGAGGGTGTCTCGCAGTCACCTAGAAGAAAAGCTTCCCTTTGCCTCTCAAATAAATTAACAGATTAGTCCCAAAACATCATGGACTTCTAGTAGCATTCTGATGGCATTACATGGTAAAAGACTGCTCCCTACAACTTGAATGCATCTTCTCCCTAAAAGTTCAAAGTTTTATCTCCAAACAGAGCTCTTAATGGAGCCAGTTTGCTTCTGTGTTGAAACTGGATGCTTAAATTGTAGTCTCACAGTCACACCCTGCCAGGCTCTTTACAGACACAGCTCAGGTTGAAAGAAGACTCAAATAGGAACTGATCTGAAATGTCTAACTGAGCCAAGGAGATCTAACGCTATAAACCTTCCTCCTGGGAGCTGGGTCAGAGAGTAGGGTGCTGTCTACATCATTAAGTTGCTTAAATGTAGAACTGCATCACAACTTTGAAAGCTATCTGTACATGGAATGTTTTACGGAACATCTGTGCTTCAACTTGTATTAGTTCAAAAGTCCACAGATCAAAAATGAAATATAATAGCTATATATAATATGACAAATGTCATCCAGATTTGACTCTCTTTTTGGTGTGCTGTTTGTACTTTGCATCCAGAATGCAGTTTATGAAGAACTTCCTGACAACAGACCCAGCCCTTTGAGGTAGTAAGAAACCTCAACTCCCTCTGACCTTCTAGAATAGCTGCCATTCCAGTGGCTGTACAGGCCTAGCAAAGTCTTCAACTGCTAAAATTAATCCTATTTCTAATATTAAATAGATGTGAAAGTAAACTGAATGTATGAATTTTACCCAAGTCTATAAGTACCTAGATTTAC